TGATAGAAGAATTAAATCAACAAATCATAATTGCAGGTGGAAAGCCTCTTGGTTAATAATGGATTACTATCGAGTAAACCAAAAAATATTTCAATATTTTAATGCAAAAAAAGTTCCAGCATACTATCTTTTAAATGACACTGTGCATATTTTAAAATGTATTCGAAATAATTGGATCACTGAAAAATTGCAATGTTTAAAATATAGATTGCTAAATGATAACGATACTGTGTGACTTGCAGAATGGAAATTTATAATTCAACTTCATGCTGCAGATAGTCGAATAGTTAAGTTGTCACCAAAACCAATTGAACGACAAAATGTTGGATTAGTTCTTAAAGTTTTTTGTGATGAAACAGTTGCAGCAATACATGTAAAATTTCCTGAAGCTGAATATACTGCACTTTTTATTGAAACAGTTGTTAAGTGATGGCTTATTGTCAACAGTAAAGCAAAAGGTCTAGATATTAGATTAAATGATATTCAAAGAAAGCCTATTACTTCAGTTAATGATTGGCAAATAGATTTCTTAGAGAACTATACTTCGTATTTTGCTGAAAATTTGAAATGCGTAAATTCAAAATTAAGAGAGAAAAAGTTAACAATGGATACTGCAAGTGTTTGCAAAAAACTTCTAAAAGATTAGCAAGCTGTGCCAAGTATTTGTTGAATTGTGGTGTATCTTATGTATTGTTAGGACATATGCAATCAGATGCACTAGAAAAACAGTTTAGGAAATATCGGCAAGGGTCAGGTGGCACATATCTGATAACTGTGCAAAATGTTTTTCAAAAATTTAGAATCGACAAAACTAGAACTGTGATAAGTGTGAACTTGATGTGGAGTTTATTATGTCAATATGTGAAAATTGTGAGGATTAGTTGCCAAATGAATGCAAACAAGGACTTTCATATATTGCAGGTTTTATTGCTTACAAACTTCCAGAATTACATTCAATTTTAGAAGAAACAGACAGCTTTGATATGTTTCAAAAATATGGAACTTTGATCAGTTCTTTGAATAGGGGAAGACTAAGAGAACCTTCTGACAATTTAGTCTACTTTGTTTTTTATTGTTCTTTTATATTTGAAGTGACACTTGTGAATAAAGTTTCACCATTGCTGTGCAAGAAAGGATTAATTTACATTTTTATTAACTGCAATAGTAAATTTCAATTGCTTGTTCAAAGTGTTAAAAAAGTTTGCTGCATTTTGGCAAACATTTTTTTAAACAATTATTGTAAAAAACACTCTGAAGATTTTGGGAAGGAATGTTTAATAAAACAAGCAAAACTTTTAACTTCAAAATAAAATACTTTGAGTCAAAAAAGTCAAAATAATTTTAATAAAATAAAGTTAATATATTTGTTTGTTTTTATCAAAAAATTTATTATTTGTATTACAAGTGTTAAACAGCTAAAATAAACATATAGTTATAAAAACGAGATTTAGTCATTTTTAGCTAAACTCCTTAAATTTTTATTGTAATTAACTTATTTCTAAACGTAAAAAAAATTCCTACAATATTTGCTTTCGAAATTCAATCAAAATGTTTTGTCCTAATAAAGCTTTTTATTTGTTTCTGAAGTTTGTTTACAAAAGCAAAGATAAAAAATAATTTTAACCGTAAAAAAGTCGGCCTTCGCTAATTTTACGGAAAATGAGCTGTTGCGGCCTGTTTAAGAAGGCCTTGGTTCTTAACCATTTCCTGATACTGTATTCATAGTAAGTTTTAAGTGGCTTCATAAAAGCCTAATCCAAGGCTGCATTTGATGTGAGCAATAAGAAGACTAACACAAAAGAATTATACTATTTTCTCTCTCCTAATGTTAATCAATTAATATTTTTAGTTAGAGATTAATGTCCATCTAAAATAAGTAGAACTGGAGAGCTTATTTTGACCCCTGACTATTTAATAATTTTTTTTAACTAAATGAACAATTCTTTTTGTATCCACTTGTTTAAGTGGCATTTAGATTAGGTTAATATTTATTAGGATTGATATTTAGATAAGGATTAATATTGATTAGTTGTTTATGTATTATTATATTAAAATATTATAAAAACTCTTGAATGTAAAAGAGGGCTCAATATATTACTATAATAGAGCAATAAATATTAATTCATTTGTGAAAGATTTTGTTTTGAAACAATTTTTTCTAACGTTTTTTTTTTTATGTATTTAATAGCTGATGATTGCTGTGTCAGGCTTGGTCGGGAAGCGGGAGCGATCGCTCTCGAATACTGACCATGGAAATTATATTTAGTTAGCGAAAAACTGGCCAGGTTTTTTAGTCGTTTTGAGAACATTTAAGTTTATGCACGAAACAAAAATTTTTTCATGGGAACATAGAAAAATTGAATGTTCTCAAAATTTTTTGGCGCGAAAGAATAAAAAAGAATATTCGTGAACATTAAAAACCTGCCAAATTAACGAACAAACTAATTCTATTGGTTCAAAAAATATGCTGACTAAGCAAAATAAAGTTCTCACGTGTTCTGTTGAAATGTTTTAAAAAAATTGTATTATTCACGATTTGTGAAGTTTTGAGATTTCTAGCATAAATTGTTTTAAGAATATATATTATTTGTTTACAAAAATAAATGTTTTAAATATATATTAATTAAATTGTCAAAATTTTAAAAGTTTATGATAAATTATAGATTTTATTAGTATATTCTTATTTTTTATTTAAAAAATATGTATTCTTTATGTAAATGTAATTTTGTGTATCTGTTTTTTATCGTAATGTATCTTTTAAAGCAATTTTTATGATTTAAACAAAGACTTACAAAAATATTTGCGTTTTCATAGAAGTTATTATCGTCAAAGTTAATAAAACTAATTATGTAACAAAAATATAAGAAGTTTCTGGTTACTAAACACAAACAATGCATACAAAGTAACTTCAGGATGAACAAGCACCGCGCCTGAGGTCACGAGAGAAAAACACAAATATTTATAGCAAATAATTAGATATAAAGAAAAGTTTTTTTTCTTAAAACTCATTATACTTTTTTCTGCTTTAAATACTAATTAAAATTAAAAAGCTCACTCACTAAACATCATCAGCGATATTGTGAAGCAGTTTTGCTTCCTCGTCATAAATTATTTTTAAGCCTTTTAGTTGATTTCTATCTTGTTAATTTAATTTCTATAGTAGTTCAATGATTTAATTATTTCATTTGTTTATCTTACTAAGAAGAATTGCTTCAAATATGTTAAACTTTTCAAACTATGCGAAACATAAAAAAGGTATTAAAAAAATTAACTTTTTTATTTATAAAATAATTTAGCCTAAATAAAACTAAAACTTGCAAACTTTGTTAAATAAAGAATATTTGTTTCCTTTTTAAACAATTGTAAGTTGTTACTTTATACAAAAAATACCGCTTAATTTTATAAAAAAAATTATAGAAGAGCGATGTTTCGATCTAAATCTAATTTATTTAGCTTTAAGTTTTTTCGCGTTTAAAGATAATTTATTTGCGTAATTTTTTTTTTTTTTTTTTGTAATTGTCTCTCATCGGTTCAATTAATCTTGTACGCTTTTTTTTTTTTTTTTTTAAATGTTCTCAAAACGACTTCAAAATCTGGCCAGCTTTTCGCAACTAAATATTATTTACGTGGTCAGCAATCGAGAGCGATCGCGCCCGCTTCTTGACCAAGCCTGCTGTGTATGGCACGAAACTTAAAGTACTATTAATAATGTTGTTTATCATTTAAATAAAATTTATATATATATACATATATATATATATATATATATATATATATATATATATATATATATATATATATATATATATATATATATATATATATATATATATATATATATATATATATATATATATATATATATATTTGATTAAAAAGGCAGCGTATAAACTTTTTGTTTTTTAATATATTTTGATGTTAATATATTTTATATTTACAATATTTCGCTAACCTTTAGCGGTCAGCATCATCAGGTGGAATAAAAAACATTGCAAAAATGATTACAAAACTACAAAAATCAAATCGCCAAAAAAGAAGGCATTTTAGGCGTAAAATAAAAATAGTTTTTATAAAATAATATAATGGCATCAGTTAAAATTTGATCAAAATGGTCTCCAAGTTCATTTGTGTTTATTCATTATATTTTCACCTTTATTTTTACTATTCTTTTTTGAAGATGATTTTTTGTTTTTAATTCGTATCTTATATTTATCTGATATTTCGTTTGTATTGGTATCGTTTGTAATTTGTACATTAATATCGAATAACAAGAAAATGATTTTTAAAAGATATATATATATATACACACACACATATATATATATATATATATATATATATATATATATATATATATATATATATATATATATATATTCCTATAGCAAAGAACTTAAACTTACTGTTTTTGTTAAAAAACAGCACTTAACTACTTTATGATATCTAACAAGACAAAATTAAGGTCAGATTATGTCAAAACGGATTGTTTTAAATAAGAAAGCTAATTAATTTTTTTTTTTTAATTCACAAAAGTGCAAATTAAAAGACTAGAATGATTTTAAAAACATACTGAATATTTTTATTTTATTTTTTTACTGTATAACATGTGAGGAGTGTTGCTACATTGACTACCATATAGACTGCTGCTATAAGGAAATATATATATATATATATATATATATATATATATATATATATATATATATATATATATATATATATATATATATATATATATATATATAATATATATATATATATATATATATATATATATATATATATATATATATATATATATATATATATATATATATATATATATATATATATATATATATATATATATATATATATATATATATATATATATATATATATATATACTTTTGGTTGGTCACTTAAATTAATAATATACATTGTTAAGTATATATTATGAAAAAAAAAAGTATAAAAATTACTTTCATATTATTTTTAAATTTACGATAACTGATTTATAGAGTTCTTTCTCAAAAATGGTTGAACGCTTTATAAGTGATGGTTTTATTAAAAAGGTACTTAGTTGTTTTTTTTTTTTTTTTTTTTTTTTTTTTTTTTTTTTTTTTTTTTTTTTACTACTAAACTTTACTTAATATTTTTACGAAATTTATAGTATATATGAAGCTATAAAAGTATATATTACAAGTTATTATGTGTATTATAAATAATTATAAAGTGTTAAAAATTTATATCTTAAAAATTTCATTTTTTTTTATATCTTTATTTGTCATAATTATATTAGGATTTTGTAATTTAATATTAAATAAGTGTTATCTGTTTTTAAAAATAAATTTATTCAAAAAATCCATTTAAATCTAGATAATAAAACAACTTCATGACCTTTGTAAACAGTTATGCACTCATGAAGGCAATAAGGTAAGTATTTTTATTTTTTATCTAAGTATCTGTAAAAATCTTTATTTCAGTTGAAAAGTTTCTTTGAGTATTAATGCAACATGTAATAACCTTGATATGCCTTGTTATTCTATGCTACTAATTCGGATACACCTTACTACATTGATTGAGATACCTTAGTACATTGTTTGAGATCATTTACATTATATATTCTATAAAACACTCATAAAGTAACTTTCTGGAAAATTTATTTTTTAGGGTTAAATTATAAACTTTAGAAGCGTTACCTTAATTGAGTTATACTATGTCTCTATGTTATACTATATTATACTTATGTCCTCGTCTGGAGTAAATGAGTGTGAGAGCAGAGAAATGCTCTCCTAAAATGAACATGGCAAGCAATTCAAGCTACTCTTTGAAACACCTTTTTACAAAAGCTTTCGGTTCTTTTGCAAGGTTTCTGCTTTTTCATTTAAATAATTGTTTATTAGATAAAAGATTTGATTTTATACTGCTTACAAGCATATGCTAAATATAAATGTTACAAGCATATATACATAACAAGTGTCATTTATTGTGCAATGAAAATATCCAATATTTTAAAAAAAGTATTTAGAAAAGCATTTTTATAGCAGGCCTTGGCATAAATGCTACATTGAGTGAGAGAAATTTATAAAAATATAAAAAATATTAACCCTTTTGCTCTGCTCAATTTTGTAGGTTAGACCACTCAGCGTGCACTGTTTTATAGCTTAAGTTGTAGGTTTTTTAAAAAATATATATTTTCAGTCTTTATGTCTAAACCTTGAAATAAAGTTTTTCTGAAAGGTAAATGAGTATACTCGACTAATTCGTAGAGGTTGACACCATACTGGACATAACTTTTATACATCGTTCGCTTAAAAAAAAAAAATCAGGAAAATTTGAATTATGTACTTTTTTTAATCAATAGACATGCATGACAAAAAAATCCAGCGGAAACCTATATGTATGCTATAAAGTTCATATTTTTAGTATCCCATAAGTATATTTAAATAGAATAATTAAAATAAAAAGAAACAACACTTTTATTTTTTTTTAATTTTAAAAATATTACGATAGTAGTTTTAGCTAAAATTCATGTAAATATCAAACAAAGACTTAAAATATATTTTTGGACAAAAAATATATGAAAAGACTACAGAGTTCTAAAATATATTAACATCAAGTTTATTCACTTAAGGAACTATCTCCTAATGATGTTATATTACGCTGTGTGTGATATAATTTAAAACACAGTGTGACACATAGTATGACACCACACATACGACATTCTTGAGTTGTCTCTTTTTGTTTGCCGTTTTTTAAGCAATAGACACATTTACTGCACTTTTGACCCAGCAGTTGATTTTTTGGGTACTAAAATGTCTTCCAACAAGTCTTAAAGGGTTGTTTAGGTCATTTAGTGGTTCTCTGCGTCCTGATTGAATTGGCGTTTATTTAGATAATACATAAGTATTGTTTTTACAAGCGATTCTCTAAACTTTAATTGACTGCTTCCATTTAATTTTCTCCAATCAACAAATAAATTGTAAATGCAAAAATCAATAAGCAGCTCACCAATCTTCTTAAACCATTTCAAACCTCTCCGCTACTAAAACTACTTTTGAATAACATGCATAATCATCATATGCTTTGGCAAATGTTATGTTACTGGGGTCTTGATAGTCTGTATCTGAACCAATATATATTATAAATCGATATAAATACTCTGTTTTACTCTCACAACACATGTAAAATTTGATTCTATAGTGTTAATGTTTGGTTGGGATAAAAACACGGAACTTCATACGACCTTTCCAAAGAGATATACACATATATACACATAGAGATATACAACAGAGAGATTTTACTCAGGCATATAATTTTCAGAGAAACATTTTGATGCGCTATCTATTAAAGACCTAAGCTTATACAAACTATCCTCATTATTTTCATTTTCAGGGTCGGTTAAAATGCAACATTGCACAAATAGACTCAAACCGATAACGATGCATAAACCTAAAAAAAATAAGCAAGAAAGTATATGGTCTTTAGTCCAAAACATATGAAAATGAGGCTTGTTTATAATTCATATTATGGATTTTATTGCAATATACACCTAAAGTTCATATAACGTCACATCAACCGTAAACTAAAGCAACTTCTTTTTTTGTTTGCATTCTTTGCATTATTTTGCAAGCTGTACATACTTATTTGTGTGTCTAACAATATTGTTAATAATATCATCTGTTAAGAATGTTTTAAGTACTGCAAGTGCTTAAGTTAAGTACTGCAAGTACTTAACTTAACTATACTGCAAGTACTTAACTTTTAACTTTTAACTATACTTTTAACTATACTGCAAGTACTTAACTTAACTATCATGCTGCAAGTGGACATGCTTTTTAGGATCTTTATTTACCTTGTTATCCGCAGTAAAAGGAATATCTCTTTGTTGCCTAGGAACAAAATTATTATTTTACAATGGTTGAAGACACTTTTGCTGTGGTTTTAAGCCAATTATACTACTACCAGCAACTACATTATTGTTGATGCTATTAGCTTCAACTTAAGATTTATTTGAAGAACATTATCATTTATTTCTTGTTGAATAAATTCATGATCTAAATCTTCTTCTACTTCTGATGTCTCAGTTTCAGATTATCAAATGAATCTAAGGTCGTTAAATACATTTTTGGATTTGGTTTTTGGTTATATATTTATTATACATATAGTTTTATTATATTTTATTGTTTAAGTTTGACAAATAAAAAAATATTTATAAAAAAAGGTTCATAAAAAATTAAATCACAGCTTAAAATTTAAAGTATAAACTTAAAATATCATAAAAATTCATATTTTTAACATCCCAATGCAAGTAAAATGTTAATACCAACAGTGGAAATCAGCAAATCATCTTCACAACCATCATCTTCACTGTTATCTAAATCATCTATAAAGTTCTGAATTTCAGAATCGGTCATAATTTGTATACTTTTTAAAGTTAAATATCTGCTTTTACTCTTGATAAAATTACTTAAAGTTGATGTTTTTCTGACTGTTGTGGATCATTTGTTTCATAATTTTAATTCATGAATGCAATACAACCTATGGTATTAATGATTTTTGGTAAAATATCAAGGTATATTCAAAAGCGCCATAAGGCATACTTCAGAATTAGCGAGAACCCCAAAAGGCGTATTTTGAAACAAAAGAGTTAAACATAAAAATTTTTTGTGAACAAAAACTTTTTTAGGTTATTTCTGAAAAATATGTTTTTCGATAAATGCTTTTATGATTATTCTGCAATCAAATTTAATCACAATTTTGAATATTAAAAACATTAAAAAAGGTTAGATTAACTAATTAGCTTTCTTTGCTAAAATGAAATTAATCCTTAATGTGTTAAAATTTCAACAAAAAATCTGAGTATAATGTTTTGCAGATAAAGTCATAAAAGTAATTTAAAAAAAAAGTTTTTAAGCATTAGTTATAGTTATATTATTATTGTTAATGATTTTTTTAAACATTGATATCATCAAAATAATGTTGTTCAAGCAAGGTAAAGCATTCAGGTTGATAAAAGAAGTAACTGGAATAGAATTAGGGATCATTAGTGACTTGATTAATTTCTACACATTGTGGAAACTGATTTTTTAACTTGTGCTCTGACTTTTAGGTCATTTGAGACAAGAATGCTAAGGCCACATACTGTAGTTACAATTGCAAGTGTGTGATGTATGTCATTAGTGATTTTTTATATAGTACTCATATGTTGAAAGTTTCTTTGCACGACCTACACGCATCACTATATATTTAGTGATGATAAAGTGTATGAACCAAGTGTTTGACCATATAACCTCGCTGTCAATGTCTGCCTGAGGTGTTGTGATTTCTAACTCAGACTTTACAAAAGTCCAAGCAGATAGTTATTTCAGTATAACAACATCATAAATGTTTCATGCAAGGCTAGATTTGCCAAGAAATTTGTGTATATATGTATATATATATATATATATATATATATATATATATATATGTGTATGTATATATATATATATATATATATATATATATATATATATATATATGTGTATGTATATATATATATATATATATATATATATATATATATATATATATATATATATATATATATATATATATATATATATATATATATTCAGAAATAAGACAAATTTTTTAATTTTTAAAATCATTTTTTTAAATAAAAAACAAAACATGTTTCGACTAACACTAGTCATCTTCAGTTAAAATTAAATATTTAAAATTTGTTAAAATACCTTTCAAAAGGTGTTAAAAAAAACGATTCAAAAAATAATTATTCTTGTACAAACTAATAATAATATAATTAAAAAAATACAATAAAATCAGTTAAAAAGTTTGTCATGTGTCATTTGTACATGGTTAACCTGTTTATTCATACCACGTTTTAACCATTCTATAAACATACTTTCTTTAAGTTTTAGATCAAATTTGTTGGATGTCGAATCTAACACAGAAAAACACTTATCATTTATTTGCATGAAACAATTTTCATTGGCATGGAGATGTTTATAGATGTGAGACTTTTTGTCCCTCTTGTAATGTTTTTAACAGATATCCAGGTCTTAAGATGGCCAGTAGTTTCTAACAGAAACTACTCGCCATCTCAAGACCTGGATATCTGTTATATAATAGAAGTATAAAATATTCTGTTATATATTCTGTTATATAACAGAGTATATAACAGAAGTTTCATCCTGCACATACGAATTTAAACACCATGAACGATTTGAACGATTTGAGGAATAGGATTTTTAGAAAAAAAGAATTTAGAAATTTTCAATGAGATAAATAATAATTTTTTATTTGCAGAACTGCAATATCTTTTAGCAATTGAATTCAGTCTCTTTTTAAGTAGAATAAGATATTTTTCCTAAAAACGGGTGTTTAAAATATGACAAAGATTCTTTGATTTTTGGTTGTGGTTTTGAATTAATCTTGTTTAAATAGGATTTGTATATTTTTGAAATGAGCCAAGATGGATACATGTTTAGGTCGTTTATGTCAGAGTGAAACCCAAGTTTAGTACTATTAATTTTGAAAATTCTGTCAGTTAAGCATTTGATTAGACTAACTCTGTACGAAAATGGAGAGAAACTATAAAAATTAGTGTGAAGACCAGAATAGGTTTTTTAATGAAAAACGGTAGTGGTAACTGAAGAATTAGTTTTGTGTAGAGTTACGTTAGTTAAGAAGTATATTTTAAAAAAGATATTTTAAAATATACTTCTTGTTCCATAGTAAAAGAAATAGAATTGTGTCTACTATTTATATATCTAAGAAAAATAGAATTGTGTCTACTATTTATGTATCTAAGAAAAAGATGCGTGTCATTTTCTGACTGGACAAATGTCATCAATGTATCTTTAATAGAAAACTGGTTTTACATCATTGAAATATTTGATCCATTTATTTTCAAAATGACCCATGAACAAATTGGTGAGAATAGGTACCAGTGGAGAACCCATTGCTACACCATCCATTTTATTCATAAGTTTGTCCTTTAAAAGAAAACTGATTTAAAAAAACTATTCCAATTCGCCACTTCGCAAACACATTTTCTAATTTCTTACATTTCATAATTTGTCTTGTTTATGAAAATATTTACATTTTTGGTGTTTAAAAGAAATTTTTGTTATATATATATATATATATATATATATATATATATATATATATATATATATATATATATATATATATATATATATATATATATATATATATATATATATATATATATATATATATACAGGGGTTATTCTAGGAAAAGAAGTTTGGGCGGTAGTACCACTGAACTGGCATGAGCTGTATAGATATTTTCTTAAAAATATACAAAATTTGCCGAAACAAAAGCAGTTTTCCAAGAAAAAACAAGGTTTTCCAGTAGAAAAAAAAAAGTTTTAATTTGGCCTGTGTCTTAATCTACCCTGTCAAAAAGGATCTAGAATAGCTCCTGATATGTATGCATGTATGTATGTATGTATGTATGTATGTATGTATGTATGTATGTATGTATGTATGTATGTATGTATGAATGTATGTATGTATGTATGTATATATATATATATATTGTTGTATTATTTTAGACTAATAGTAAAGCTCTGGGTATGTTGGCACAACAAATTTTAAAGGAGCAGGTAAAACAAAATTTATGTCATTAAATCTTAATAAAAATATTTTATTAGTTGATAAGTTTTGAACTATCTTGAATAATTTTAGATTCTTAAATATTTAATTTTTAGATTTTATGATTTTACTATTGTATTATTATTATAATGGTTTTTTTATCTTTTAAAATTTGTTATAAAGAAGTTTTAACAAGTTTAACTGATTTCAAATTAATTAAATTTAGTTTTGTTTTAATTCAAAGCAATATAATAATAAAATTTTGAAAAGCTGTAAATATTAAAAAATTTAAATGTTTAAAAGTTTTTTTATTTTTACATTTTAGTGTGAACTTGTGGAGATTATTTTATTTTATTATAAAGATTTTGAAATGACGTCTAGTATATTCCTGGATTTAGCAAAACTTTTTAGGGTATTTTTTTTTTTGAAACTGTAAAATAATAGTCATTTTCACTGTTGATGTTCTTGTTAACTAATGTTTTTAAAGTGTTTAATAATACCTACAATCAAAATTACTTGCAAATAATAATATAAATTGTTTTTGAAAAACAATTTTTCATTTTAAATTTTTATAATATAAAGTTTAAATCTAAATGTTTTTAGAAGAATTTTCTTATTGCTACCTTTGCCACCGCTTTTATTTATTTATAGCGTCAACACTTTGGAATGAGCCAAGTTAATAGAAAACATATTATATCAGATGGTCAAGTGTGGATGAAACAGTTTGGGTATATTTATATTCAATTTTTTTTAATGAAATCAGATATTTAAAAATAATTTTAACTTTTGGATTTTTTACTTTGTAATTTATTTTTGTGGTAGTTATTTATCTTCGATGGTTTTGTTGCAAGGATTGGATTTAGAAGCAGCTCAAAATAATTTAAACAAACAAACAATGTAAGTTACTCAGTATAAATTTTATCATCATCATCATCATCATCATCATCATCATCATCATCATCATCATCATCATCATCATCATCATCATCATCATCATCATTATCATCATCATCATCAGTATTATATATTATATATTCCAAAATTTTGACATTTTTCATATCATCATTTTCATATCAACAAATCTCACACTTGGATTTTCAAGAAAAAAATTCAACTAAAAATTTTTAAATACATTTTCTAGCATATTTTCTAAAAAATAATAAATTTGCTTTTGCAACAAAAAAGATTTTTCAGAATTTTGATTTTAGCTGTTACTTGTTTTTGCTAATGAGTATGAAAGATTTTTTCATAATTTAAAAGTTATTACTTTAAGATATTACTTCTTTACTCTTTTTTGAAAAAAAAAATAAATATGATGCAAATAATAACTATAAAACCGAGTGGAAATCATGCATCATCTCAGAGGCTCGTTATAGGATTTTATATTATAACTTTTTACACTTTTTTATTTTTTTTAATTTTTTTATTTTAATTCACCTCCTCAAGGCCAAGAAGGCCACTACAGACGAGGAGGCTACTTATTTAAGGTTATAACCCTCTCTCAACTCTATAACTCCGAAACACGAACCTTGACGAGCAAGGCCGCTGCGGGGAGAAACGAGTTGAGCGCGGTACTACCAGGGACGTGGTGGGGATCAAACTCGGAACCACTCATTTATGAAGCGAGCGCTCTACCACTACACCACTACCGCATAATTAGATACTTTTCAGGTGTTTTTTAAAGTCTTTATAGATTCTTTTACTCAATTATTGAGTAGAAGTTTACTTAACGACTCTGATTTTATATGAAGGATTACCATTATAAATGTATTTTTACCCTGTTAGTAATATAATATATTACTTATTAATTGCTAAAAATAGAAAGTGTTAGCTTGGTACAATTAAAAATAATCTAAGTAAATATCTAATCGACTCAATTAGATACTTTTCAGGTGTTTTTTAAAGTCTTTATAGATTCTTTTACTCAATTATTGAGTAGAAGTTTACTTAACAACTCTGATTTTATACACTGAAACCACTGTATAAAAAACAAAGGATTTTTCATGTTGCAAAAATCAATGAGGCATTGCAATAGCAAACAAAAAAGTTGCAATAACAAAGAAAAGATGCTTTTCTGAACAAACACCTTGCAATACAGAACATTTTGTTACATTACCTCACATTATGATGATGATGATTATGATGATGATGATGATGATCATCATTGTCATCATCATCTTTATCTTTAATATTACAATTATCATTGTCTTAATTAATCCTTGTCACTTTTATTTTTTATTTTTTTTATAATTAGTATTGATTGGATTATAATTGTTCCTGTCGTTTAAGTTTTTTTTATTACTTTAATTTACTTTAATATGTTTTTTAATTTTTAGATCTCATCATTTATTGACAAATGAGGAATGGAAAGTAAAGAGTTTTTTTATTCGCAAAATAACTGCTTACAGTCGTATGCCATTTATATATTTTAACAGTTGTATGAAATAGGGTGATAGCTTAGTCTTTCTCCTCGAAACTTATAGACTTTTCTTTTTAAAGCAAAGTTGCCAAAGGGATTTTCTTATGCAAAATTGGTATTTACTAATGCATTAGAAAATCCATTAGGTCAGCTGCTTTTAAAATGTTAAGTTTAGTTAATATATATGTTTTTAACAGCCAAACTTGTTAGTTTTGGAAACATAGCTTATTATTACCATACGTACACTATCCATATAGATAATCTTTACAATTTTTAGATAACAAAGGCTGTGAATTAGTAAATTTATTCTAGCTTCAGCTTTCTATAATCCTAAACTTAAATTATAAAAAAAAAGGTAAAAAGTGTTACACACAAAAAAAAAGATTAGCTTTGGTTTACCCATAATTTCCACTTAAATTTTTTAGCTTTAGTACCAGCAAATGTTCATAATTAAAATAACCTAGTTTGTAGAATGAAAATTATCTAATTCGTAGAATCTAATTGGTAGAAAGTAATTTAATTTGTAGAATGTGATTATTTTGTATGGTTGCAAACCTCAGATTTTATAAGAACAAAATTAGAGGTGTTAGTAGTTGTTTTCATTGTAAGATAGAGACATTTTTGCATGCTAATCTTTTTTTTGAGTTTCATTTTTAAATTTATATCAGAAAAAATTTAAATTTATTCTAGCTCATAACTATCAACTTTTTTTTTCTCAACACTTTTTTGCGTTTAGCAATAATAGGTTTAAAAATATATATTATACTACAAAGTCATTATATATATTATACAGTCATAATAATTATTTAAAATTAAAAAAAAAAACAGTCCAGTTCATGGTATTTGTTATAATATTGTTAAGGTGATTGATGAGTTACTTATTTCATGGGACGATACCCAGTATCAAGGACCTGTTCTTATTGGTTGGACAATATTCCGTCATATATGCTTATCCAAAGATGAGCAAAAGGTATAAAGTTTGTTTTAAAATTGCAAATTTGCAGTATACCTTTTGTTATATACTAGCATATTTATTTATTTTTTTTTTAATTTTTTTTTTATACTCTTCTATTCAAAAAGTATTTATTATATAAGGTGCTCATTTTAAAAACTAAACTTTCGAAATATAAAAAGATTAATAAATCATTGATGTCAATGTCTTATCAATACTTATTATATTTCTATTTTAAAATCAATAATATTGATTTAAAAAAATAACTGGTATTAATTGTGCCGTCACACACATACACACATATGTGTGTATGTATATATATATATATATATATATACATATATATATATATATATATATATATATATATATATATATATATATATATATATATATATATAAATATATTTTCTGATGAGTCTTTATTGATGAAACACAGTGTAAAATGAAAAAAATTTTTGTTAAGTGATTTTCTTCTAATTTATATATATATATATATATATATATATATATATATATATATATATATATATATATATATATATATATATATATATATATATATATATATATATATATATATATATATATATATATATATATATATATAAAACAATGAAATACATAATTATTTTTTGTATAATTTTAAACTGAAATCTATATATATATATATATATATATATATATATATATATATATATATATATATATATATATATATATATATATATATATATATATATATATATATATATGTATAAATATATATGTATAAATATATATATGTATAAATATATATGTATAAATATATATATATATATATATATATATATATATATATATATATATATGTATATATATATATATATATATATATATATATATATATATATATATATATATATATATGTATATATATATATATATATATATATATATATATATATATATATATATATATATATATATATATATATATATATATATATATATATATATATATATATATATATATAACAATGAAATACATAATTATTTTTTGTATAATTTTGAACTGAAATTTTTTTAGTTAACAAGACATTTTGGTGATGCAGCATTGCGGTGCAACTTATTGCCTTTCATATTAGAGATTTTAAATTATCCAATTTTTATAAAGTTAAACGAACCTCTTGCTGGTTATGTAAAGTCAATGATATATGTTCTTGTTAATTTACTTCTAAAGATTTTTCAAGAAGATTCATTGCCAGATTATCAAGCATGTTAAACTTTTATATTAGCTCCTAGTTCAATATATATATATATATATATATTTTTTTTTAATTATTCACCTCCCCAAGGCCCGAGGGGGTCACTACAGTCGAGGAGGCTACTCATTTTTATTTTATTTTTTATTTTTTTTTTATATATTTATTTATATACATAAATATATATACATACATACATACATACATACACACATACATACATACATACATACATACATACATACATACATACATACATACATACATACTTACATACATACACACTGCTGACCTCAAAGTGTTTGAGGCTGGCAATTTTTTGCCGACCTCATTTTTCCTAATTCCGAGGGTTGCGTATATATCAATATATTTTTTTGTTTTTGTTAAAATTCTTAAAAATCCTATTAAAGATCTTTTAGTTAATAAAATTCGTGTAAAAATTTTGTATTCAATAATTTTTTTAGATACTAACTCCAATAGTATGCAAAGTCTTAAGTGAACCTGCTTTATCTTCTCTTTTCTTTTTGGAGGAGTCTAAATATGGAATGCATATACTTTTTGATTCAGCAAGAATGCAATTTCCGTTTTTGTTTTGCCCTTTCCTCAATTTTTTATCCAGTTTATGTACAGATAAAGCAAATGTTGATTTGGTAACTTCTTTTTTTTAATTTAATTACAAACTAAATTGTAAACATTAAAAGATTCTCTCTGTTATTCATTTATGCAATTATCAGGATTATATATCTAGTTTTATGCGTTTGATTAAGTTTTTTTTTAATTTCTTTATCAGTATATACATAATTAAGATGCTTTTTTTTCAACTTTTATATGTAGTTTATAATTTTGATGATAGTTTAAATTTTGTATAGTTTATATAAATAATTCAGTAAATATTAAAATTTGTTTTATGTGAGTTGAAAAGTTTTCTCATTGTTTATAAAATTATTTTAGATATTTAAAGTTTGATATAAGTTAAATATAATATTTATAACCCCATCAAAACAAGGTAAACATTTTCTCTTGTTATCAAAATAAGAGAAAATAAGTAGAAGATAACTAAGATATAAGTAAATGATAACTAAGTGATAAGTAGAAGGTTAGAGTTAAAATTGCAAAAAAATTGCAGAAAGGAATTTTTTTCAAAAATATTTTTTCGAAAAATCTTTTATGAGTTGATTTTTAAAAGATTTTAATTAGTAAGAATTTTTCCACGTTTTTAAGCATTGATATTGTTTGTATTTGTAGTCATGGAGAACAGTAAAGTGTTAAAGTACACATAACTTGAAATTGAAATATTGTAGCAGGTTGCACGCTATTGTTATTTCTCTATAAATTAAAAAATTAGCAAATATAAAAAATTAGCTGTTGGTCCAAAACAAATATGATTAAAAATTTGGCTCAAAACAAATAGGAGTAAAATTTGGTTATTGAATATGGTCATATAATTTAAGAACTTCATATAAACATAAGGAATGTCAGAGTTTGAGTTTAAATTTTAGTAAAGCTTTACCAAATGAATTATTTTTAGATGATGAGATGAGATAACCTTAAAAAAGAATGCTGTTGAGATTCGATAATGAACTATTAAACAGGGTTTTATGATTACATAATGATTTTGGACAACTTGTCTGCTTTGTCTTCTTAACTTCAATGTTATACAAATGATAATTTGATGTGACAAATAATAAAGTAAAATCTCTTCTAATTGCAGGATATTTAATAAAATGAACAAAATTTATTTTTTATCAGCTATATCTGAAATTTTGTTGCTTATTTTTATTTCAATAGATTTAAATATGACAGTTTTGGCTTTTTTTTTAATTTAAATTTTTTAAGAGTTTAGATATTTTAGAAGCACAGCCACTAAAAACAATGTTAACTCATCATGATTCATAGTTTTATTTTTTGAGTAGTTTTTGATTAGGAACAAGCTGGTGTCACTTCTTAAAAAGTGAAACATTTAGATCATTAATAAAAATAAGGATTGCAATGCTGAACTTGGTGAAACAATATTAAAAGGTTTAATTAGTGTCAAAAGAGTAGTGTATGTAGCATCAATCTATAAAATAAAATTTTTACCCAAGCATTTTCCATAATGACAGAATGAGTGTATTACATAAAAGAGAAAGCATGCTTAATTTACCAAAAAGAATTGGACCAATATGTTTGGTACTTAAAGCTAAAACTTATTTAAAAATAACTAGACTTTTACATTGTAAAATTGCATTATTTTTAAGTGTTAGTTGTCAATCACAATTTTTTACAGCATTTCAACATTTTTTCATACCTACTTAAGAAAAAAACTATTAAAATTTTTTTTTTGGTTAAAATAAAACCTTATTTTGATTTTGATTAAAAAATTGTTTACATTTTACTTTCACCAAAGTTTTTTTTAAAAAAATGTAAAATTTTATAATTCAAAACAAATAATGCATGTGCAATTAAAAAAGTATATTTGTACATCAAGTAAATTACATTTCCAAAATATAAAATACAAAGTTTTATATAAATAAACAGTTTTATATAAATAAACAGTGTTATTAAGTTAGTAATTGTAATCATTTAAATTAAAGTTAGACAAGTTATATAAAGAAACAATGAAGCTCTGAATAAAGTTTTTCTCAAGTGAAAAACGACCAAGCAAAACTTTTAAAATTAGCATTAATGTCTTTTTTTTTAAATATTAATAAATACTTGCACCTTTTTATTACAATATTTTTTATTAAGTTTTAAATTCATGTTTTTGTTTTATTATTTAAAACTGACATTTTTGCTTTTATTTATCTAAAAAAGCTATAAAAAAGTTTGCATTATGTTATATTTATGATATTACATTTTTCTGATGAGAAACATTTTTGACATGTTATAAAGTAAGTTGATGACATATTTTGTTGAAGACATTTAATTTATAATTGATGTTGGATGAGTTATTTTTATGAAAGTTTTGCTAAAACATTGATGTCACCAGTGTCTTATTAATGTTAGTAACATAAAAACATTGATGACACCAGTGTCTTATCAATGTTACTAACATAAAAACATTGATGGTACCTGTGTCTTATCAATGTTAGTAACATAAAAACATTGACGACACTAGTGTCTTGTTAGTCAATGTTAGTAACGTAAGTATTTTTTTAGCTTATTTTATATGTTATCTCATTATAAATTGTTAGTAAATAAAAATACAGCAAACTACTACTATTGTTTTACTACTATTATTAACTACTATTATTGTATGTATACAGCCATTTTAAGGTATTAAATAAGTTTATGCTTTTTTTTTTTATTACTGATTTTTTTACAAGGTTTATGAGGTCTTTGAGAATCAATTCATCTTTGCCGAATTATTTGGTAAAAATACTGAGTCAGAAATCACATGTGTTGGTAAAATATGGAAACGACTTAGTGATCGGATCATATTTTGCGATAGTGTAAACGAAAAGTTTATATTACCTGCTGATATAAATGGAAAAATCACCCTACACAAACAAGGTTTTTTTTTTTAATTAAAAAAAATAATTATTTTCATTTTTTTAAATCTATATATTAACAAAATTACATTCAAGAACTATATTGTTTTTCAAATTAAATGTTCTTAAATTTGAGAAAATAAATTTAAGAGAAATCATACATCAAAATCCACTTTTTGTATTTTTTTAATTATCTCATTTCAGCATTTGATAAAAAGCATCACTTTATTGCCTTCATTAAAAAGAATCACTTTACATCATTTTTGCAATGCTATTCACCTTCCTAAGGCCATGAGGGCCACTATGGTCAAGGATGCTACTCTATTGTATATACTTTACATTACAGTATTTGATAAAAAGCTTTACTTTACACCATTTAATAAAAATCAGTTAATGTAATGATTAGCCTAAGGTGTTGTTAACAAAGATTTTTGTATCAAAGTTTCACTTGGATAATAAAATCAAGTCAAAGTCAAAGATATGTTTTTAGAAAATAAGGACCAAAGTTGAAGCTACTGATTTAGTTTAAATATTTCCTTTTTAAAAAAATGTATGAGTGGTGTGTTAAAAGTTTAACTTTGTTAAACATAGAAAATTATCTGATTAGACAAGTAAAATAGATAAGCTAGGTCAAATTATACTAATAACATATTTAATAAAACTGGATTTTATTTTTAATTTAGACTTTTATAAAGCCACACTTTTTTAAATAAATACTAATTTATACAAATAAATTAAGTTTTTCTTAAGCAATTACTATTTTTTGCAAATAAATTAAGATATTTTAAAAACATGCCAAACTAATTAGATTTGTGAACTGTGGGTTAAAACAGATCTATATGAACCTAAAGAAACTGAAAAGATAAAAAACAATGCAATCGAAATTAATGTGTTTTAAAAACTTAATCCTATATTTTTTATAAACTTCTTATTAATTATTATGTATTACCCTTCTACTTTTAATTTATTTTAGGTTATATCATTGTTGTTGCATTACCTTTACTACTTCATTATTTTTATTCAACTATAAAATTAAAAATAATTGATTACTGTATATATATATATATAAATTTTTTTCTCTATCTTAAAAATATGTTTATCTTTGTATAGTGTTTATTACAAACTATTTTGGTTTATTTTATTATATTATAGTATAATATATCTTTGTTATATATCTTTAATGATTATATTTTATATATCTTTGATCATCATACATTACATATCTTATATATATATATATATATATATATATATATATATATATATATATATATATATATGTATATATATATATATATATATATATATATATATATATATATATATATATATATATATATATATATATATATATATATATATATATATATCATTTACTAATTTAATTTTAGATTCCAGAATGATTTGTTGGACATACACATACTCTGGTTGGAGATTTCTTTTTTTTTTGATAAATGAAATTGTTGATAACATACATCTTTTCTCAAGCGACTCAGGTGAAGATGGATTGCTAGTTGTTTTAAGTGTTGTTCAACTGATTGAGAAAGTATTAAAACATACTCCTGACAAAATGGATGAGTTTGAACCACTGGTTGTTGGTGTTTTAAAGCTAACAAAGAGGTTTTTTATATGAGGTTTTTTTATATATTTCTTTTTCTATAATGCACAATGAATTCAGAATGACATAAGTTATTGGTTTTTTACTGTTGTTATGGTATATTTCTGGTAATCATTTATTATGGTATAATTGTGGGGATCATTTATTATGGTATATTGGAGCCGTAATCTAACTGATTAGTGGTTTATTACTTCTTTAATCTTTATTTTAAAGTTTTTATTTCATAACCAATCAAAACTTAGAAAAAAAAACCCTTAGAAAAATGAAAACTTTGATATAAAAACACTAATTTAATTGTAGGTGAGGACAGGAGGAGCTCATTAACATTGTTCTGTTTAACAGAACAAGTTTTATCATTTTTATTGTGAGACCATAATTTGGAAGATTACTGTCAAACTTCTACTATATTTATTCTCCCATATTTAAATAAGGATTTTGTATCAGAGTTTTCTTTTTCTTAGGTCTTTTTGTAAAAAAGTTCAGATTGAATAAAGTAAAGGGGGTAGATAATATGTAGATAAGTTTTGCAATCTTGATTTGTGCATTACATTAAAAGAAAAGTTACATACATCACATGTGTCCAAAGTGTATTATTTTGGTAAGTAAAAGCAGATTGTAAAAATTGTAAAGATAGTTTACCATTAAAAACTTATCATGTAAAAATATATATTCCTTACACCTTAATATTTAGTATGTACTTTTACTTTTACAATAGTACTTTTAGTTTGTAAATGAACATTTCCTTTTTAAAATTAAAGGAATCTCTATAAATTGCCACTTTTCACATTTTAGACTTTGCTTTTTTGAAGAACCACCTTCTGATTTACTTGCAGTTTGCATAAGTTGCATTCATAATGTTGGTATATATCATCCTATTGAGGTAAGCTTACTCTGTGTTAATAACTAATAAGTTTACTGTTTGTAAATAAGTTTACTATGTGTTAAACTAGTTAGTTGTAGGGAATAATGAAAGGGTGTGCTGAAAAATTTTAGTATGTGTTTACTATATCAACCATATATAAATGATAAATCTGTTTTTTATTTCAGTTTTTGACTGATAAGTTTTATTTTAGCTACATTTATTTTTTACATTTGTTTAAGTCTAAAAATTTCAAAAAACTTTTTTAATTTTGTTTGTAGTAGTAGAAATATATTAAACATGAAAAAAAGTAGAAATATATTAAACTTGAAAAACAAAGTTTGTTAAAAGTAAAAATTGTTTTTATTTTTTTCAAGATGTTCAAAGAACTCTGCAATACAAATTTTTTGCTTCAAGAAAAATTTGTTTTTAATGAGTTTAATGCAACGCATGGGCGCTTTGAAAAGATTTTAGCTACTGTAGAGCAAGTCAATGGAAAGTTTGAATTAACAATTGAGTATTTGAATTTCATACAAATGTTTGTTTCTAATGCGATGGGACATTCAGATGTTGCTCAAGTATATATTGATGTAATTGTGAATGTATCATTTATATTGAGAGAAATTTTCTCCAAGTTTGCTAAATGGTTGTATAAAAATGCTGAAACCAAAACTGCGATTGGTAAATATTAGTAGTAATTTTAAATAATAATTTTTATATATTGATATGTTTTCAACAAGCCAGATATATTTAGTTACATTTTTTTTAGGTAGCTCTGAATTAATAGACCGATTTAATAGATTTCCAATTTACCTAGTTCCTCCTGCTCATATTATTTCATATCAAATAAAGAAAATAATGAAACTGCTGATTTCTTATATCAAACTGTTATTTGTTTTCTTATTTTAAACCATATGTTTCAAACTAAATAGAAAAGTTCAAATAAATCATGTAAATTTTGTTTATTCAAATAAATCATGTAAATTTTGTTCATTCTAATAATAGCAGTTGTTAATACAATTTGATGTCATGTGACGGTTTTATATTTTATTATATAGACAACCCTCGCAATTAGAAAAAATGAGGTCGTCAATAATTTGACGACCTCAATCTTTTAGAGGTCGGCATCAGGTCAGCAAAAAAAAATTGATACAAAGGTCTTACCATAAAACATAGAAAATTGAGGTCGGCAATATTTGCCGACCTCAAACACTTTTAGGTCAGCAGTTAGGTTGGCATTGCCAAATGCCGACCATAATTACGAGGGTTTTATAGAAAATATTTGATATTTAGTTCAATTTAAACGATAATGTTAAAATTTAGTAGCATTTTTAAAGGTGCAGAATCTAATGGGAAAAAAAAAAAAAAGATTAAATCAAAATTTTAAAATGATCAATTTTAAATTTTAATATAGTGATTGTACTTCAGCATAAAGAAATCTTAAATGTTTGTTGAAAAATGAAAAGCTAAAGTGCAAAACAATAAAAGCAAAAAAAAAAAAAAAAAAAATAGTAATAACAACTGTAAAAACAAAAATTAAAGGATTGAAAAATGCAAATATTGAAGTTAAAGTTTATATTATTTCAACAATGTTTTTTTTATTAATAAATTGAAAATAAAAGCATTTCTTTTTTTTTTTAAATGTGGTACTGACACATCTTCTTTTTATATGTGATATTGACACATCTTTATTTTAGATATGACACTTTTATTTTAGTTGTGATACCCTTGCATCTTTATTTTATATGTGGTACTGACACATTTTTATTTTATAGGTGGTACTGATATCTTTATTTTAGATATGGTGCTGTCACAACTCTTTATTTTATAGGTGGTACTGACAGATCTTTATTTTAGATGTGCTACTGACACATCTATATTTTAGATGTGCTACTGACACATCTTTATTTTAAAATGACTCACTTGGATAGTGCGGATGGTTGAACTTAACCATAAAATCATTATTTTTTTTTTTTTATTTCAAAAACCATACTAATCCATTAGAGTTTTTGCAATAAGTATTGCAATATTAGAAAAACAATTGAACATTTTCAAATTTTAGTTTAATGAATAAGTCAAATCATCTTGATGGAAGTTGATGGAAGTTTATGATTGTAGGTGGTGTGAGTTGATGGAAATTTATGATTGTAGGAAGTGTGAGTTGATGGAAATTTATGATTGTAGGAGGTGTGAGTTGATGGAAATTTATGATTGTAGGAGGTGTGAGTTGATGGAAATTTATGATTGTAGGAGGTGTGTGTTGATGGAAATTTATGATTGTAGGAGGTGTGAGTTGATGGGAATTTATGATTGTAGGAGGTGTGAGTTGATGGAAGTTTATGATTGTAGAAAGTGTGAGTTGATAGAAGTTTATGATTGTAGGAGATGTAAGTTGATGGAAATTTATGATTGTAGGAGGTGTGAGTTAATAGAAATTTATGATTGTAGGAGGTGTGAGTTAATGAAAATTTATGATTGTAGGAGATGTGAGTTGATGGAAATTTATGGTTGTAGGAGATGTGAGTTGATGGAAATTTATGATTGTTGGAGGTGTGAGTTGATGGAATTTTTTCACCCAAAAACAGTCATTGCTACAGAAAATTTATCAACAAATTATTTGGCAATATGCTTTGGCCTTCTGAAAAAAAATTCCAGATGCAATGAGCAGGAAAATCTTAAATATGAAGACTGCAAGCCGCATGTTGCAGCTTTTGAGAATGTTTTACAATTTATCTTGTTTTGTACATAAATTTTCACTTTAGACACATACAATTTGTTTGCTCTTAAGTTTTAATTTTCTACATAATTGAGAACAAATAAGAGCCATATTGTTTAATTATAAAAAGTTATCACTTGGCAAAGTTAAAAATTCTTGAGTAATCTTTGATAAAAAAAACTTTAAATTTAGTTCTAAAATAAAGTAGCGTTAACACTGTAAAATTTGACTTGTAGAAGTGTATAAGTATTTAGCTAAGTCTTTTATTAAAAGTCTTTTGAAGAAAAGTATTCTTTTTTATACATTAAATGAATTTTGTTGTAAGCTTAATGTTTTTTTTTAATGTTTTAGTTATTATTTATAAAAAAAATGGTTTTAAAGGGATCATAAAGTGCTGAGACAAGTTGTGTTTATTTTAAAGAAAATGATTTAAAAAAAAGAATGTTTGCATTTAATCATATGAGAATATATTTAATGAAATTTATTTAGTAAAACATGTATTGCTTATTTGATTTGTTTTTTAAAATTGAACAATTATTGGTCAAGATTGAAAAATAGTGTAGCATTATCGAGTAAAGATTAAAATTGAAGTTGTTTAATGATAAACTTTTTATTGTCAATTTTAGTAGATTTATAATTTTAAGAGACAGGTTAATATAAAATACTTGCCAAATACGACATATAAGTTAGGAAATATTAAATATATGTTTTTTAACATGCGCTGCAGCACACTGACAATTTCAATTGCCTTCTATCTTGAATTATTGCCATAAAACGTTAATAATTGCTTTAATTATAAAAAGCTGTCTGTAAGTTTATTTAGTGTAAAGTCTATATCTATTTTCCAACTAAAAATTTAAGAATTCAGCAAATATATTTCTAATAAATGGTGTCATTTACCAAAATTCTTTATTAAGTAAAAATTTAATCATACCAATAAATGGCTTAGACAAACTAGAAAAAAATATTCACATTGTTTACAAAAAAAGAAAAAAGATTCAGAATTTGCTCTATAAAAAAAACTTTTGTTTCGCTTCCTATAAAATTTCTTAAAATGAATAAAATGTCTGTATTGTGGACAAAGCTATTCACTTATTACTATGAATATGCTTTTGTTGCATAGGGACTTATTTTCTGCATAGGGACTTTTATTCAAGTTGATTTCATGAAGACTGCCTCTGAAATAAAATGAACTTATTTAATATCTCATTTAATGAAATATTTTTGTGCTAAGTGGCTTTGTCTGTATTTTGGAAGAGTTGAAAAAGAGTTAAATAAAAACTATTCATTTACTTGAATGAAGTGGTTTTAGCTATAGGAAGGCAATTATCAATAAAAAAAGATTTTTGAAAAAAGTTTTAGTTATTTACATAAAAACTATAAATATAACAAAAGTAGAAGTTGGCTGCCAAGTTTCTCCTTTTTGTAATTCTCAATATCTTCACAAAGTTTGACATATAAAAGTTATCATTGTCATAAATAGAATTGTTATGGCTATTAAATGGATTGCATCATCATGTTTATTTAGTTGCATAATGCTTTAAATGGATTGCATCATCATGTTAATTCAGTTGCATAATGCTTCAAATAAACATATATGATAGAGAAATAAACTTGCTAATTTAACATTGATTATTGTTAGACTGGGTCTTCTTACAAACATTTCTTTTTCATATTTAGGACTATCTTCAAAAATTTTATTTTCAAACAATCAACTATATATTGTTAGATAGCATTCACTTTCTAGTTCAATTCCAAATAAACTAAGCAAACACAGTTGACTGAGAAACTGAATTTCCAAATAAGACTAAATAGTTTTTTCTAAATTGTTTTACTTTTTTTAATATTAAGTAGCTTTGCATCTTTCTTTATAGATGAAGTATTGTTTTGAATTAATGAGAATATGGCAACCCATATTCTATATATATAACTGCATCCAGCTACTGTCTTGTAGAAGGCCTCCTAGGCAAAGACTTTATGGGTAAGCAGAAAAATTCTGCTAACCAGCCTCGAACCCCTTTTTCATCTATTAGGCTGGCGTAGATGTAACCTGTGTTACAATGTTTCCTGCCTAGGATGATGAATGCTGGATCTCCTTGACTCTACTCATAGAATTTTGCTTATGCCTCCTTGATAATGCCTATGCAACTCTTCCTGTTATCTCCATATGAGGGTACAGCTCTAAAACTCAGTTTAATGGTTCTGAGGCCGGCTGGTAGTAAGGTTTCTCGAACTCTGTGGTAGCTCTCAGAGAGGCTGATTCCATCAACAGCTGCAAAATATCAGAGTATTAACAGTGCCATGTTGCACATGGATGGTGTCCCTGTTAATGCTTTTGGTGTGCATTGTCAAGGCCACATAAGGAGCCCTATGTCACGGCTTAGGGTTAATTAACAGGACTGAGACAACTGCATAGCTCATTGATTAGGAGGCTGTGCTCTATCTATGAATGAGTCAAGTTCTCATTAAACCCAAATAATGACTAAAGTAACCAAAAATTTTAAACCTAAAAAACCATCCCCACCACCTAAATGTTTTAATATATCTTTTACAAATATTCGCAGTCTGCGAAGCAACTTTCCGTTAGTTGAATCTTACCTCCTGCAAAATTCACCAGACTTGCTTGCACAGTGAAACAAATTTAAATTCTGCAATTCCTTTATCAGATGTCAGTGTTGATGGGTACTATCCTTTGATTCGTAAAGACTCCAATAGTCACATGCTAGGTTTAGGGGTATACATACGCGTTAATTCCCCTATTTGTCGTGAAATCAGGTTCGAATCCTTTGACCATTCTTTTATGTGCTTTTGCCTAGCACCTCTTCACTCTATCACCTATCTCTTTTTTTTTTATCGTTCTCCTTCTTCCCATGATTGCACTCTTTTAGATGTTATCTCTAATCAAATTGACCATGCTCTCTCTTTACCCTTCTGCCAATATTGTTGTTGTTGGGAATTTTAATGCCCATCACACTAAATGGCTTGGCTCTAACACCACCAATCCTGCTGGCAATAAAGCCTTTAACTTCTGCGTTTCTCAATCTCTTACTCGGATAGTTTTCCTGACAACCCTAATCATTTACCTTCACTCCTTGACTTATGTCTTGTCTCTGACCCTAGCTTATGTTCAGTTTCTCCCTTTTCTCCCTTAGGTGCTTCTGACCATGCAATGATCTCTATAAATCTTTCTTCTTGTACTTCTTTTTTGGGCTCACCTTATCATCGCACCACCTACTACTACCCTAAAGCTGACTGGGATTCTTTTCGTGATTTTCTTCATGATGGTCCTTGGGCTGATGTTTTTTCTCTCTCAGCTAATAAATGCACCTCCTATGTAACCTCCTGGATTCAGGCTGGAATGGAAGCTTTTATTCCTTCTCGTCGGTTTCAAGTCAAGCCTAATTCTACTCCATGGTTTTCTCCTTTTTGTGCGGCTGCTATATCCAATTGTAATCATTTTTTTCATCTTTTTCAAAAGAACAACTCTCTTGAGAATAAACGGCTATTTTTTATTGCAAGAAATCGATGTAAAAAGGTGCTTTCTGATGCTAAACTCCATTATTCTCAGTTCACTAAATCTCACATCTTATCACAGAAGTTAGGCTCTAAAGACTTTTGGAAAATCTTCAACAGTATTATTAACAAGGGTAGATCTAACATTCCATCTCTCATTCATGGGACTGATCTTATTACCTCTCCCAAGGATAGGGCAGAACTATTTGCAAAGAACTTTTCTTCTAATTCTACTCTTGAATCTTATAAATATTCTCTTCCTTCCATTCCAGTCAAACAGGTTGACCCATTGTTAAACATTCAAATCACTCCGGCTTTTGTTGCTAAAGTCATATCTCAATTAAACTCGTCTACAGCTTGTGGTCCAGACAACATTCCTGTCACAGTCTTGCAGAATTGTTCTCCAGAACTTTCTTCAATTCTCTCTCAACTATTTAACAAGTGTTTGACTGAGTCTTGTTTTCCTGCTTGTTGGAAAATGGCATCTGTGGTTCCAATATTCAAAAACTCTGAAGAAAATTCTGACCCCTCCAATTATCGTCCGATCAGTCTTCTTTCTGTTATTAGCGAGGTCTTTGAGTCTTTGAAAGTTTGGCATGCTGGTCTACTCCATAATACTCCTTGTATGCAATACTGTTGTCATATTTGGGCTGGTTCTTCTAACGATTCACTTTCTCTTCTTGACAAGGTCCAAAAACGCAATGTAAATGTTGTTGGACCTGGACTATCTGCTAAGCTTGAGCCTCTTTCCCATTGTCGTAAAGTTGCATCTCTTTCTCTTTTCTACAAATACTATCATGGTCACTGCTCAAAGAAGTTATCATCTCTAGTTCCATCAACTAAAATTCATTCTCGTTTTAATCAAAACAATTAGTAAAAGCGTCGATTACAAAACAACGAAGTTGTTATGATCATTTTGAATTTAGTTATTTTACTTTGGATTCAGCTGATGCAAAAGTGGTGATGTACCAATCTTTGGTTTAGCAACTTTAAAAATGGCCAGGTACCGATTTTCAATCATTTTTTCCACTAAAACTTTAATTATTCATGAAATATTTGAGAATATCAGCTCATATTTTGTGGTTGGTTTGTTTTTGATGATTTTAAAATGAGATTTATTATTATGCATTAAATGACCAAAACCCAATTTTCTTTCAAAATGGCCTAACATCTTATTTGAAAAAATTTTGAATCTAAAAAAATTGGGTAATTCTAGGAGTTAGTAAAACCCATGATAACAGAACAGAAAATTTGTCTGTTTATTATTTTTAAAATTAAAAATGGACATGAAAAATGTGTTCTGTCATTTTCTTTATCTTTAGATTCAGTACCCTCAAAAATAGTAAGGTACACATTTTCAATTAGTTTCTTCTTCTTAAACTTATTTATTTAAAGGTACCAATATAAAATCAAATATAAAATCCATAATGACCGATAAGGCAAAAAATAGTGAATATGTATATAGACTGAATTTCAAAGGTCAATTTGTTACTACAAGTTAACTGCTTGTATTTGATTAGCATTTTACATTTCACATTTGCATTGATAGATACCACAAGTTAAAGTTTAAAGAAAATCTGAGGTGACTGGAAAGTTTTACTAGTGCCATTTTTACATGGAATCACCATTAAGTTTTTGGTCATAATTTGACAAGTCTTAAGACTTTTATATGTAAATAAGTCACTTAAAGTCATTTCATCTTAAATTCTTTAAATTGCTATGTGAAATTCTTTTTATTAAAAAAAGGAGATGGACTTTGCCTGACAGAAAAATAACCAAGATCCTGTAACTTCTAAAAATCTTTGAAAAATTTTAAGATTTCAAGTCTTTTGATGGGTTAAAAGTTGGTTATTGTCATAACTTTATATGATTTTTTTAAATGTTTGTATTTAGTTTTTTTATGTAAATGTATAATGAATAGTTTTCTGTTAGGTCTTAAATGTTTGAGTCTTGTTCATACAATCCTTTCTCCAACTTTTAAAGATTACATGGTTAATGAAAAGTATGTTTTTGAATTATTTTTTTTAAGATTATTTATATTTTTAAGGTTTAATACAGTTTTGAAAAAAAAAGCGTAAAAATTAGACTTTAAAAAAAGATTTAAAAAATGGAAAATTTAAAAAAAAATATTTTATAGAAACTTTAAAGGAACTTTGAAGCAAATGGTTCTTCAAGAGCTGTTTTATCAACAGGCTGGTAGTTCTTTTCTCCTCATTGTTACTATTGGTTGCGTTGAGATAGAAAATATCACATTTTCAAGGTAAGTATTTTAAACCATTAAAAATAGTAATAAGGTGTTTAAATGTTTTAATTAAAAGACATCAAACTCAAAACACATGAATAAATATTTTTATAGAAAAACATTCTCTAAGGTATAATTTTACTTTAAGTTTTGTCTTAAGTTAAGACTAGAAAAAGGCTGGGTTGTCTTTCACAAATAAAAAAAGTTGAAATGTCAAGTTATATAATTTTGATAATCAGCAAAAAGAGTTTTATACACAACTGAAGACAATATGCAAGGCCTTCTGTGTTTATAAAAAATTAGATATTTATTTTGATTTTACTCATATACTTTACTTATCATAGTTTGAAATTTTTACTTTAAATACATGATTGTTTTTGTTTTTTTCTTTTTAGTCAAAATACAAACATTGTACAGATGGTTAAACTCTCTTTGTCTGTTCTTGAAAAATTACTTAATTTCAGATTAAAAGTAAGTTATGTTCGAAACATTAAAAAACATTGTGTTTATATTATACATACATTTTTTCAATTTTTGTTTGCTTGATTATTTTCATTTTGGTGTTTTGCCTTTGTTTTAAATTTTTTTTTTTTTTGTAACTGTCACTATATTATTATAAAAAAATAAAAATAAAAATAAAAAATAAATCATTTAAAAGTACATTCTTTAATGGAAGTTCAGACTTTTTTTAAAAAATCAAATTCAACCCCTTACTTAATGTAAATACACTCGGCTCTATTTATGGCTGAACATGTTGATAGTCAGTATATCTATTCACTGTAGATAATTGTATGTATGTATGTATGTATGTATGTATGTATGTATGTATGTATGTATGTATGTATGTATGTATGTATGTATGTATGTATGTATGTATGTATGTATGTATGTATGTATGTATGTATTTATGTATGTATGTATGTATGTATTTAGTATGTATGCAGCATATAAAATAATGGCTGATCAACATTCAATCACCTAGTGAAATGTCTAAAATTGCTGTTTTGACCTCCCAAAATGTATTCTTGTTGGTCATGGTTAGCGGATTTTAAAAAAAAATTGAGTTTAAAAAAATGTTTGACAATTTAATTTGGATGTAATTTGGAAAAGCAATGTACTAAAATTTCATAAAACTATTCTAATTTTGAAATAGTTTTCAAAATAGTTTTATTGTTTTAAGTTTGGTTTTAAAGCTTTTATTTCTTTGGTTTTTATTTCTTTGGTTTTAAATTTAATCTTATTTTGCTCCATATTTTTCCCTTTCTTGTGCAATTGCAAAATAAAACTTTTTTTTTTTTTTTCAAGAACATCTTTTTTGAAAACAAATGTCTTTTTATTATTGAAGTTAATGTAAAAAAGGTCCTGTCTAATGCTAAGCTGTCTAATGCTCTATTATTCTCAATAAATTTTGTATCTTATTTCAGATGTTAGGCTCTAGAGACTTTTAGACAAATTTTTAACGTCGTTACTTAAAGTAAGTCTAATATTCCATTTCTTAGCTATCTGTAGTTTCTGTAGCTATCTGTAGCATTAGACATGTTCAATGAATTCAATATCTATTTTTAATATAATAAAAATACTTTTCATTCATCTCAAGATACTGTTGGCTTTGGAAGCATACTTTACATGTGTTCTAATTGAAAATAGAAGTAATTGTCGCACCAAGGTTACTTTCTGTTGACATTAATGCATAAATATTTCCAGTTGTTTGGCATGATATATTGTAACTAAATTTAGGTTTACCTAAATGCATAACTTTTTTCAACATTTAGTTTCATTAGCCATATTTCTGTTTAGTTGATGATTGTGTTTATTTCTTTTAGTAATTTTTTTGAGTCTTTATTTAATATCTCGGCTATTAATTTGCTGTTGTCAGTATAAAGCGTACAATATTAGTGATTTAAGACTTTTGGATGACCATTTATTTAAATGATAAACAACAAGAAACCAAGCAGTTAAACTTTAGTATGCCACTAGTAACCTTGGTCCAATTTGGTAATGCTTTCTCTGAGCACAACAACTTGTTGCTTGTCTGCAAGAAAGTTTAGTATTCACTTCAGTAAATTCCATTTATGCAGTATGCTTGTAATTTTTTAACAAGTCTTAGATGAGGCACTTAGTCTAATGCCTTCGTGAAATCTAGAAAAATTACATCAACCCACTGTTTTTTCAAGAAAATTGTTGCGACTTCATCATTTTTTTCCAGTAAATTGGTAATGCAACTTTTTTTTGCAAACAAATCTCTGTTGTAATTTGGCTATGAGTTTGTTTAAGTTAAGATGATAATAACCATACTTTTTATTCAACTTGTCATGTGCAATATATTTCTCATTTTACAGATCTTTTTAAAGCTCATTATACTTCTTTCCGCATTGCTTTACAATTGCTGATAATAGAAATTATTTTTAAAATTTATAATATAAATGAGAATTTATATACAGAAAAATAATTAAAAAAAAAATTAATTAATTGCTCTATTTGCATAATTAGCATAATTAACTCAAAAGTCTTATTTAAGTCATTTTGAACTTAAGTTCAAAATATGTGTTATATTAAGTTCAAAACAAATTTTCTATAAGTAAATAATGATTTTTTTTTCATCAAGTTATTTAGCTCAAGTTCATTTTGTTTTAGTATCTATTGTTTTAGTATGTACTTGATACTTAAACTTAAAACCAATCTTTATTTATTTTGCAGGAGGAAAATATATCTTCCCTTGAAGAAACATTAAGCAGTCAGTTTGTGTTAAAATTGTCAGATATTGACTTCGTTGAAACAACAACTAAAGTTTCAATGTTTACTGTAATTGCAAAATACATTTATCACCAAGAAGATCCAAAGTTGCCTATATTAGCTGTTCTTGTTTTACATGCCCTAGCAGAAAAGTTTCCACTGCTGATGACAGCAAATCTTGGAGAATCATTAGATGGTTTGCGTAATGCTTTTGTCAATCGATTATCTGGTCGAGTGGAAGCTATTCGACTAAAAGTAGCTATTCTTGAGTTTTTGACAGTCTGTGTTGAAAAACAACCAGGTTTGGTGGAAGCATTTTTGCATTTGATCTCTGGAAAAGAATTTGGTCAATTTAGCTGTGTTTTACCTATTTTAAATATATTATCAGATACAAATCATTTAGATGTTCTAACATCTTCTTCTATGAGTTTTTTGTCAGCTTTATGGCTTAATAGATATGATAAAGCCATGACTCTAATTAAAAAAAGGTTTGCTATAAAAATAATGATGATGATGATGATGATGATGATGATGATGATGATGATGATGATGATGATGATGATGATGATGATGATGATGATAATGATGATGATGATGATGATGATGATGATGATGATGATGATGATGATGATGATGATGATGTTTTTTCAAACATTTTTTTTAGCAAAGATTTTTGGTGCAATGTTACCTTTCATTTAACTTCAAACTTTAAACAAGTAAAGCATATTATATATAATAAATGTATTATTTTAAATATATTGCAAGAGCTAGACTTACCCCAATGCTATTATAAGCTGCAGTTCAAGTCTTATAATTATTAGGGGCCAAAAGAGGATTTACAAACATTTTCTCAAAAAGAACTTTAAAGAAAGATGATATTTTATGCAGCATAATTCAAACCATTAATTAATACAAATGAATGCAATTAATTGTAATGATTTTTTTAAATAAACTTGATTAATTGTAGTTAAAGTAAAATTGTAACTTATAAATATAACTTTTTTAGAATTGTAGCTTACAATAGTAGTTTTGAATTATAGTAGTTTTAAACATAGAGAAAACTGATACACAAAGATAAATAAATGTGTGTTGCACTACCTTTTAAAGTTTGTGATTTAACGAGAGATTTTTAATACAATAGTTTTATATTTAACTCTGTTTTAAAACTCTTCTTTAACTTTTGTTTACAACTTTTATACATAAACAAAAATTCTTAAGGGTGTGATTATATACAAAAATAGCTTACAGCTAACAGTAAAAAATAGCTTATGGCTAACAGTAAAAAATAGCTTATGGCTAACAGTAAAAAATAACTTACGGCTAACAGTAAAAAATAGCTTCCGACTAACAGTAAAAAACAGCTTCCGACTAACAGTAAAAAATAGCTTACAGCTAACAATAAAAAGTAACATCAAGTATAACAAAAATATAATAAGCATAATAAGCATAATAATAAACTATTACAACAGCAATTTTCAAAATTTAAGTAACAAAATAACTTTAAATAAAAAATAGCAAAGATAATCCAGCATTATTTCCAAAAGAATTTTGACCTGATGAAAAAATTTACTGATGAACCGATTTCGATATTTGGCTCAAAACAGAAAATTATCAAAATGACTGTTGCAATTTTCAGCAATCCAAAAAATTTGTGGTCAAAAATAACCTGCTATAAAAACATATTTTTTGGCTCAAAAGTGATCTAAGCTTTGCTGCTTACCAACCAATGATCTAGTGTACTGTTTTGTATGCAAATTATTTGAATTTTCCACATCTTATTTAGTAATTTAAAGGTTGTATGATTGGAAAAATTTTTAACTCTTTTTAAGACCACAGAACATCCATGACAAAATTTTTTTTTTTTCAAAGTTAACAAATATTTTGTCAACCAAGTTCATAAAACAAGACATAAGATAAGGAAAATTACTAGATTTTGCAATGAATAGTGGCTAATAATGATATTAGTTAAGCAAAATCTCTTATCATTATAAAAAAAATTGTAGTTTCTTTGGATTGTTGGAGTTTATTTGAAATTGTAAGTAGTTTTCTATTTGTGGGAAACAGTATTTAAAACTAGTAAAAAAAATAATTAAAAAAAATTTTTTTTTTTGTGGTAATTTTGTCTTACCAAAATACCAGGTGCATTTTTTCAGAAGATGGCTTTTCTTAAAAAAACTCTGAAATCTTTATTTTTTTTTTTTTTTTAATTATTATTTTTTTTAAAAAAAATTTAGATTTAATTATGCTTCTTTTGATACCCAGGTTGACCAAATTAGAAAAAAAAAATTTTTTGTTGATATTGTTTGGCAAAATTACCAAGCTTAAAAATTTTGTTTTTCAAAATTATTATTATTATTTTTAAAATTTTAAATACTATTTCCCACAAATAAAAAACAACTCTTTTTAAAATTTCAAAAAAAAAAAAGGGAAAATCAACACACCCTACTGTTAGAGTTGATTGCAAAGTGTGACCTATTTATATCAGCGTATTTTAAAAAACTAAATAATCCATTACTTGTATAGCTTTCAGAGAGTTCTAGATATGTAGAAATAAGCTTCCTACCTTTCTAAGACTGTAAGAAATTAAAAAGGTGAAAAAATAATAGTCAACAACATCAAAGCTTCCAAATACTTTAGCATTTTGGTGGACTCTGCTCTTAATGTTTCCCACACAGACCATCTTTTTATAGTTTTTAATTTGTTTGCGATTTATCATGAACCTGAAGATAGATTCATGATGAAGGAAAGACTCGGCAAACAATATCTATGATTTTTTTGTATATTTGTGTGGTTTTTTTAGTTATTTACATACTTACTACAATGCCCAAATCATGTCTGGTAGGTTTACTAGAATGCAGCAAAAAAATCCCAGAGTAAAATCTTGTAATTTTTTTTTGATGGTCACTTGATAAGTCTGGTTGGAAATGAAATAGAAATTCAAAGTTCAGTAGAACACTGAAGTATTAAATTCTTTGATTTTGAACAAAAGATCTACACACATTGTTATTTTCAAGTACATTTAAGAACACATACTCAGTTATTTCAGAAAAATTGTTGATCAATAAATTATGATTTAGATTGCATAATTTCCTCAACCCTAAGTCATCTTTAGGCTTTGAATGTGGTAAATCTAGTTCAGTATACTCTATTGTGTTATATACTATAAATAATTGTATTTAAGTTGGTAAGTATGATAACAACTTTAAATAAGTATTAAAAAAGAAAAGATTTCAACTTATTTCAAATACAGATAACAAAGCCAATGGTTGACACAGCACTTCATGCTCTTAATATATTGGCTATTGAAACATACTATGTCAAAGGGTATTTTTTTTTTGTTTGTTTGTTAATTATTTATTTTTATTTTTTGTATAATTTTTTATATATTTTTAAAGATATTGAAAAATATATCGCTAATACTGAAATACAGATAAAATACTGGAAAATGTTTTATAAAATACTGAAAAATGTTTATAAAGTTCTCAAAAATGTTTATAAAATACTGAAAAATGTTTTATGAAATTCTGAAATACGTTTTATAAAATACTGAAAAATGTTTATTAAATATATTGTTTACAATTATGTATTTCAAATTAGTGAACTTTTTGATGAGGAGCTAAAAGTCCAGTTAAAAAAGTTATCTGATGGAAAAGCTTATCTTGAAATTACTAAGGTAAATATTATACTTATTTGTTAAAAATACATATTGAAATTTATTGTTTTAAATATATTTGTTTTCATTATATGCTTTCAAAATTTATAAATATATATATATATATATATATATATATATATATATATATATATATATATATATATATATATATATATATATATATATATATATATTGTATATGTACATATGAGTATTTATTTAGGTTTCTATGTTCCTTAAAAACTACTATTTTAATATTTAAATAACTTGGATTTAAAAAAAATAATTATAATTTTCAGTTGAAATAATTATGACCTATTTAGATGCTGTTCCCTGATGAAAGCGATGATGAAACATATAAATTGAATCTTGCTAAAACTTGGAAAATGTATTTGTCAGTTCTTACAGAAACACAAGTAATTTTACATATTTTACTTTTTAATTCTATATACAATCTATATACAATTATTTAATAACAATATGTTTAAATTTTTTATTTATTTTACTCTTTATTTTATTAGCTTTAGCTTTCATTGTGTTACTTAATTGTTCTTCATTGTGTACTTAATTGTTCTTCATTGTGTACTTAGTTGTTCTTCATTGTGTACTTAGTTGTTCTTCATTGTGTACTTAGTTATTCTTCGTTGTGTACTTACTGTAAACTATGACTGTGTTTTTCAATTTTTGAATTTTAACCCATCCTCTTTTTTAAAAAATGAAAAGATTAATAACAAGGGAAGCATAGATTTTATGCTTTAGTAGATCTGACAAGTCTTTCCCATCCCTAAACCTAAACTCAATGTATTGTATGTATGTAATGTTAATGTCTGTAATGTGCTAAATTGTTGTATGTAATGTACTAAAACGTAAATGTAATATACTAAATTGTAACTTGTAATGTACTAAATCCTGTCTATAAGGTATAATAACATTAATTGGTTTTCACAAATCAATACGGCAACATTTGCGTTTAAGAAAGTATGCCACAACGTTTGCGTTTAAAGAAAATTGCGTTTTTTAACTGAAATTTTCACAAGATCAATTTTAGCAAAAAAAATTTTCCTTTTTTTTTTTCTTTTTAATTTAAATAAAATTAAATTTTCAAATTTTATAATTTTTTTCTTTTTGATAATAATAATTTGTCAAATATTATTATCAAAAAGAAAAAAATTATAAAATTCAAGTTTATCTGAGATGACAAAAACATTTGCTGGAATTTGATGAAGGGAGAAAAACAATAATGGAGAGTATTGTTTACACTATATAAGAAATAAACAGAGTATTGTTTACACTATATAAGAAATAAATAGAGTATTGTTTACACTATATAAGAAATAAATAGAGTATTGTTTACACTATATAAGAAATGAACAGAGTATTGTTTACACTATATAAGAAATATATAGAGTATTGTTTACACTATATAAGAAATAAATACAGTATTGTTTATTATTATCTTTTTTATATTGTTTCACTATATAACAAATAGAGTATTATATAAAGAACTATATAAAGCCTATATAAAGAACTATATAAAGCCTATATAAAGAACTATATAAAGCCTATATAAAGAACTATATAAAGCCTATATAAAGAACTATATAAAGCCTATATACAGAACTATATAAAGCCTATATAAAGAACTATATAAAGCTTATATAAAGAACAGGCTTTCCCAGGAGAGGCATGCGGTCGCACACCTTATTTGTCCACGCATAGAATAAATTTTCTGACTAACTGACCACGTTTTATTATTATGCGTTTCAAGAATTCGCGCCAAAACAAAGCTAAACGAAAATACCGCAAAAATGCAAGCAATCTTAAAGTAAATAACAGAAATCTGTTTGTGCTTTAAAATTAAAAAATTAATGTATATTATTAAAAAAAAAATTTACCTATATTTTATTTATTTATTTTTTTATGGTGGTAGTTATTTTAGCTTAGTTTTTTAAGGTGGTAGTTATTTTAGCTATGAAAAATCAAATCAATAAGAAAAATCAAATCAAAAAGAAAAAGATTAATGTTTAAAGAAAATAAAAGGACCTTTTAATGTAAAATTTGTTTATGACTTTTATCAGTCAGTAATACTTTAAAATTCACGATAGAACTATAAACAATTTTTAAATGTTTTGTAAGTACATTTAAATGTTTAAATATATTGAATTAAATGTTTGAATGTATTGATACGCAAGAAAACACGAAAACGATTGCTATTTATTAGTAAAATATGTTTGTTTTTTAAATGAAAGAAATTTTATTGTCAAACCATTGAGTTGCTTATTTTGCAATCATTAATTGACATTGGGAACGAGTTTTAATATATAATAATGTCCCGAAGGAACTGTTTTCATAACAATGACAACAGAAGCAATGCAATTATTTTTTTAAGTTCTTTTGTAATTACAAAATTATGCAATTGAATAATTTCAACGTAACAAAAGGCAAGCATTGACTCAGTATAATCAGTTTAGAATAAGTCGAGAGAGAACTTTTTTCACATTAAAATTTTGTTATGTTTAAAATCTCAAATAATATATTTAATAATTAAAACAGCAATTTATTTTCTTGTCTAATAATATTGGGGAATAAAGTCATCGCCTTTGCATAAGCCTTCGTAAAAACTAAATTAAATGAAAAAGTTTAAACAAATTTGTCTAGCGTAAATAATAAATCAGTTTTTTAATACATTGTCTGATAAAGTTCATAAATAAATTACATATCAAGTCTTTTTATTTTCGTGAAAATTTTATGACTTATTGTCGTCTTTTCCTTGACTTGTATCAAATTTCGTAGCTGAAAATAGCAACCCTAAAAAAAGGAAACAAAAACAGTATAAAATTTAAAAAAGAATGTTCAAGACTTTTTTTTTTTTGTTACAAGAATTTTTTTTTTTTTTTTATATTATCAAAATATTTTTCTTACATCCAATTTCAATTTTATACTTTGTTTAGACTTCGTTTCCTTTTTTTAATATTATTTTTTATTCTTTGTGGATAATTTCCGCTTTCCCACGAAATATTGCCGCAGTCACGTTTTCTGAAAAATTTATTCTATGCGTGGACAAACAAGGTGTGCAACCGCACGCCTTTCCTGGGAAAGCCTGAAAGAACTATGCCTCGTTTTAGGTCTGATGTACAATATGTAGTATAGACTTTTATTAGTTAAGATGAAAAATCTTTACTCTAAGTCTATAATATATTGTCAAAACTGTGCAACAATCAAGTCAAACCAAGCTATGTCGTCATCATTTTTTACTAATTAAAAAAAACAACAGATCCATGTATATTGCCGTATGGCACTCAGATAATGTGCATATTGGTAGTATGTGCACAAATAGAGTAAATGTTCAGAACAACTGCTTTATATAAGCTGCAAGAAAGATTATGTGAAGCTTTTCATGCTGAGCTTGTTTTTGATACAAAAATAAAAATGTTTCCCTTTAACATAGATAAGTGTTTCTCAGCAAAAAAATGAGAAAGTTATTAGTATAATCATAGCATTTTTTTTGCGACAAAGCAAAAGTTTTATTAAAACACTATGCATCATTATCGCTTGTTATCATAAACGCTAAAAGTCTTTCCCATGTTGTTATTAATTTATTTAGAAAGACACAATTCCATTTAGTAATCTAGTTTCCAATTTATCAGATTCTACCAATTGAATAAGGAGAAACATCAATGAGTTTGAAACAAGATTATGAAAAGCATTTCTTCGCTAACTTGATATTGATAGTGATGTTTGTCATTAAGTGCACAATATTGTCAAAAATTTTACTTTTTTCACCAAGGTTATTAAAAATTTCCTGGATGATACCTACATTGATTTTAAGTTCAACCTAGATCATTTACATTTCTTAAATTTTTTTGTCAAATCACAGGTATCACTTACAACACTCCAAAGCAAATGGTTTCAAATTGGTTTAGGTGGTTCTCTGTTTTAGATTGCGTTCTTTCTATGCTTGAGATGATGCCTGCTTTCACCTTTATTCTTCCTGGTTATAAAAACAGAACATCTCTCTGTATAAAGATGAAAGTGACAAAGTTTTAATGAGGCTATCAAATTCATTTGATAATTTAAAAACTAAAAGAAAAAATGATATGTAAATGCAGCAGAAAAAGCTAACAAAACTAGGTGCTGAACGAAAAGCTAGAGTTGTCAAAATTTAATTTACCAATGTAATGAAACTATACTTTATATTAATTTGCGGATTGAAAAAACTTTTGAATAAAAAAAACCATTACTCAATCAAATTTATGACAAGCAAATTGAACTGGTAAAAACAATTTAATGTATAACTTGTTTTATTAAACAAAAGATGATAAAAAATATAACAGGACCAAAAATGAAATTTTTAATCCTGAAAGATAAAAAGTTATTGCTATTAAATTACATTTACCTTGGAAGTAATGCTGAAAATGCATCGTTTTTTGAGACACTGCTAAAAGCCTGCCTTAAATCATATACTAACTTAAAAAATTTCCTTTTAACATCCCTTAAAATAGAACCTTTAAAATGCCTTTTTGTGATCAAACCTATGTCTAAAGGTCATGAAATTACAGAGAGAAAGCTAAAAAAAAATTTATAAATAAAGTAGTATTTAATCAAAAAGTCATGCAGCTTCAGATAGATATAGTGCTTTCACCCATATTTGCTGATGGAAAGTCTGTCTATCTTGACTATTGGTTGGCATAGGTTTTGAAGTGTAAATGATATAATTAGAGCTTAGTAAAATTATCAAGGCATGCCTAAGTATATTCAGTAGTCCTAGTATTGAGCAATCATTTAGCATGATGAAGTCATAGTTAACAAAAAGACAAACCATCTTGATACTTTGACGTACTCTGCTATAGCTTCAGTTGAGAAACAATTATTAGCAAACAAGACCATAGTGCTAGGGTTCTTTAAGAAACGAGATATATTGCATGACCCAGTTAACAAAAACATATGTGGTCACTTGCAAACTGCAAGCAAATGCTTTATTTAAAAAAAATGGAATTCCATCGAAAAACAAAAAAGTTGAAGAATTTTTTTTTAATATAAATTCAATGCAGAAAAAAAAATCGCTTCGCATGAACGGTGCAAAATTGTTAAAGAATCTATTATTGATCATGCAAAAAAAGTGCAGAAAAAAAAAGTTGATGAATGTTTTGCAACAGAAATTTATAAGAATAAAAATTATTGATCTCTGAACTATTGTCTGACATTTATATTTAAAAAGTAAATCACACTTTTCAGGTTGTTTACTGTAAATCTGAGATATATTTGATTTTAGAGAATTTTAGAGAAACAATTATTCAGTAGTTGTTATTTACTTTATTTAATACCAACATTCCAGAATTTACCCACATACCTTTGTCAATTTATTGACTGTAAATTTTTCAGGGATTTTTACAGATATTTATTCAGTTAAAAACTA